CAGCATTCTTTCGGTTGGGTCGCGATCGAAGCAAATGCCAGATTTCAAACATGACTGAAATTTCTACTTTAGACACGTCGTTTTGGGATGTATTTTTATCTTATCAATATCATTTTCTGACAGGGAGATTAACGTTTCATAAACGTTGTCTTCCCATTCTTAATATAAAGCTTTAACGTAACAGTAATGATATATATTTCAAAATTAAATTGTTTTCCGTGTGCTAATTATGTTAGGCATTTATCACTTTATTATCACTTTCACTCACTTTCTCTCCACGAGATATCACAAATGCGCAGTATGGATAACCAAACTTAAGCAAGTTCATGAAGCCAAATTTGTTTAGAGATTCGAATAACTTTATAACACCGTATATTCATTCATAAATATATCTGAGTTTTCAATGTTCATTAAATTACAATGAGCGTTTATTTTCACATACAGTTTTTGTTGGACGAAGATAGTTCAGTTTGTCAATATCCTCAGGACACTAATGTTTTCTCTTGCTTACAGCCTCCGAGAACCGATGGACATGTTTCTTTTTGAGGAAAGATTTGGGATTTTATCGAGCATGCGTGTTAATCGGCTCTTATACCCGTTTTACAAGAACTCTCTTTAATTCTTTTTCTGTACACAAAATGGATAGATGGGGGCGTTTGCTTCTACGAAGTGCTGTTTCGGTATCAAAACTGAATGAACGAGATCCAGCATTTTACACGCTTATTTCGTTTTCACGATGAGAATATTTCCTCCGTGCAGTGAAAACAATAGCTGAATATTAAACAGTTATACATCGCATTCCCTTGTATTAAGGAAGTTAAGTTAGGGTTTGGTACGGAAGATGTCATTAAAACATCGATTTAACAACCGTTTTAATTTTCACCACCCAAATTACTTCACAATACAGTTCAACAAATTAGAACACTGTCTACACAACTATACAAAAGGAATAAATCGCACCTCAAGCATATTAAGGAAAGTTTCGGAATATGACTCCATGACAGCACCAATCAAAATGGACGTGTGTACAGAAAAATGACGCGTACAGACTACAGCCAGTAAAATCCGTCATCGCTTATACCGTTGAACAAAGATGAAAATTTACCTGCAAAACGGACTTATGCGTTGACTGCGTTGTATTGCTTTTCCTTTACAATATAGGATGATTCCAGTATTCCCGTTCCGATCTTAGAAACGTCCTATGGAAGTGTCCACCTATCGGACCTATCGAAGCGTCCAACAGATTCAAAAACAGCGGAGAAAAACAAAAACTTTGGACATTGACACTAAGGAAATGAATAACACTACTGATTTAACTAAATAATTCTTTAAAACATGAGGAATATTCCCAATAGCAATGAATATCTGTGTCATAAAATTGATAACAGATATCTTTTGTTTTTTAGGCGATTAAACCAATTATCCCACACAAGAAAATTTTATTCACTTGCCACATAACGTACGCCATTTTGTGCCGGCTTAGGTGGCTCGGTGAATCAACTGATGTCGCTCCAGTGCCTCTGATTGAGAGATCCTAGAGTTCTGGTCCCGACAGTGGTTGGATTTTCGACACTAGCTAGGCCGGCCGCTGTCTGAAGGAGAGTTCTAGCGGCCGGCTGCTCTGATCGGTTATTTTCCGTGGTTTC